GGCATTCACACTTGTCTTGCTTTCTATGTGTGTGTATTTGTGGGGGAGAGGAGGTATACTCAAATCCCACCCATGTTTCACCAATTCACAATTTGGGGGACATAAGGGTAGGTATGTGCTCATTGGGAAGGTATCTATTTAACAAAATCCTCTAGATGTTTCTGACATGCCTCCATCACTGTATTTGATTTTACAATATTAACTCTGTATTTTCTGAGGTAAAAATCATACTTAAAGTAAGTGGTGTTCCTGAAAATGACTACTGGGGATGTTGAATAATTAGAATACCTACCTCAAATCCAGAACAAAGTTCAAACTCCAACTCCCATGTGCCCCTCAAACTAGAATGAATATCTTTCTCTCTGTATTTCTGAAATAATTCCACGCTTTTCTTCTCATATATAATGCAATTTCTGTGGTATTATATTTATTTTATCTCCATTTGTCCTTTTGGCTGGTAAGTATGTAGACTCATGAATGTTTGGGGCAAGGGAGAAGGGTGAAGAAGCCGTAATTTTTTTCTCATCTTTCTAATCCCTTTAATACATTGGCTAGCCAGTAGTATGTATCTAACAAATGTTGGTTAAACCAGATTAAATATGAAGTATTAAGTGGTATTAGAGTTATGATCAAGTTCCAAATTACTGAATTGTTCTATTATCCTATTAAAAGATGTTATTTCTCCTTTCATAGTACTTAAAAATCAATGGTGTTTTAAAACTTTGGACTTAAACTCTAAACTAACTGAAATCATGACAGTGGGAATTTTTAAACAATATAATTCAAAGAGCAGTAAGGCCTAATTCAAAAGAACCACAGTGGGTCACATCCTTCAGGTAATTATTTGTTAATTTTCCAGTCAAACCCTTACTCTACAACACAAACAAACAAACACACTCTGGATCTGACAAAATAGTGGAAAATAGAAAAAAGATCCCATGTTCTATCTCATTGTTTGTAAATTCATTCTTAGAAGGAATCATGCAATTTTAACTAGGTAAAAAATAAACAATTATAAAAGAAATCACCAAGGCAAATGGATTTTCAAAGATGTGAATCATCAAGATTTTTTTAAAAATTAGGATAATTTATACAAAATTAAAAATTTCGGAGCTTTTCATGTTTAGAAATCAAGGATGTCTGAATGGCATTTATTGGGAAAGCTGCCTAAGGAGATACTTACTATGTCTTTAATCCCTTTTTAAAGACCCTCTCTTTCCAGCTTGAGGTCTGGTGTAGGCAGGAAAGGAAAGCTCAGAGATGGTGGGGAACACGGAAGCTTCACTGGGGCTCAGGCAAGAAGAGCCAGATGACAGCAGACAAAGTGGAGAATAACAAAGACCAGTTTTTTTTATTGTGAGTCCACAGGGCTTGCCTTGGTTGGGAGCCCTTGACATAAGTCTCATAAGTGTCACAATCTAATTTTCTGTACAGAAGTTTTCAGAAGCACATCTGAGTATGCTAAAATGGTGTAACTACCTACTCAGAACATGATTTTTCTATACTCCATTTATGCCCAACTTATTTCAAAATGTATTTAGGAAAAGTAGAAAATAGGCTTCCTTGGTACTAGAGAGAATAAAAATGCACATGACCATTTTATACCCATTTGTAGGCTCCTTTTGGAATGTTGGAACATTTGCTCCAGTCAGGTGCCTGAGGACCCATATTTATAGCGCACAAGTTATCTGGTTGTAGCTCATTGGCATATCTTGTAGCTGGTCTACAACTCATGCCAGTCAAATTTGCTTTTTCCTGGAAAGTTAGAATGGGAAGCCAGAAAGCTGGGCATCTGAACTGCGAAATAATGGAAACCTACACTGTGGAGGCCTTTTGGGGGTTCTGTGTATAAGTAAATCAACAGAGATTGCCAGTCTTCAGAGGAAAGCCAAAGAATGAAGCCAATTCCATAAAAAGATAGAGAAAAACAGTGATGGGTCACTTAACTCCAGAAGTAGTAGTTCACTTAGTTCCTGAGAGCTTTCCTCCTTATGAGGAGATCCTTCTCCCATTCCAACCTTATGCTAAGTTTTCCTTTACTCCAAGTTAATATCAGTGTATTTCTATTATTTTCAACCAGGTTATTCCTGACAAAGACAAGGATATTCCATTAAGATGTGTTCCTTTAAGCCTCCATTAGGTTCACATTGGAAATGAACAGCATTATGCTGTCAATTTGTCAACATTAATTATACGTTATGACTTAAGCATTGTTCAGATCCTAATTGCATGTAGCTCATGACAATAACTTTGGAGTTGCTGCATGGTGGTTAGTGAGAGGGTCCTGTACAATCCCTGGAGGATATAGTGTATTCTTTCTGTAATGATGGAAATATTATCTCTCATGCATGTTATTATTTGCACTAATCACAAAATGCAAGACAGAAGCTCCAGGCAGTAGCAAGGTTGTGCAGTGTGATACCTGGGATACAGCTATTTCACAGACCCAGGCATAGAACCCTCTAAGAAAGAACAGTCCAGGAAGACTTGAGTATTTCATGCAGCTATTCACATAGAAAGAGGTGTTTTGCTGCAACTTACCACTTGTTGTTTTGCAGGTAATGTTCTTGTCTTCTGTAGAAACTAAAACGTAATATGATGTCATCTAGTTCCTCTGTAAGACAGCACTTGGCTTAGCCAGAGGACAGTTGGCGTTTCTCCTGTGAATACAGGGAATGCCTTATTGACTGCCTGCAGTGAAAGGCATGTAGGACTTCTGGATTGTAGCCTAAGTCACATTTGTAAACATTTATAAAGTCACACTGGCAGCATGATGCAGTATCAAGCACCTGGAATAGAACCCAACCTACTTATTTCCTCTGTAAATTCACAAAACTTACTGTGAATTCAAAAAATTACTATGTGTAAGTATGTACTATGTACCAGATTAATAGATATATACAATAAAAAATGCAGTCCTTTTTCTTATTAGAATGTTAGTGTTAGTATTGTTATTGAATATTTCTGTCATAAATGTGTACTGAATCTTCTTATAATTAAATATTGCCAGTAGACTTCTCTATTCCCAATATTGACTTTTACTGTTAAAGGCAGTAATTACCTTAGATAAAAGTACATCCATAATTATATGCATTATCAGAGTCGCACATACTTGGCCCAAAGGCCTTTCTCAATATATGACCTTGGAAGATTACTCAGTCTGTGTTTACTCATGTATAAACAATGAATTGAGTAACCTATATAAATCATATGGCTGAAAGCCTAGTTTATAGTCAATCATATGCACTATCATTACTATTATTATAGTTAAGATAAGAAAGGAGAAGTCAAGGTCTCCATTTAAAGTGGGGAACAGAGGTGTTTCCGTATGAAGAGCTTTATATACTGTGTGTAGACTACAAAAGTGTCTATTAAGTGAAGAACAACAATTGAGAAAGCAAACCCATGGGAACTTCAGCAGCACTGTGCTGTTCCCACTGAGCAGAATCTCTTTCATGGTCACGTTGAACCACCTTTCATGGACTGGCCATGGTCGTGATTCCTGAGAATCCCAACAACTTTAGATTGGTAGTTGGGTTGCAGTTATGTTCCCCACACAGGATTCCTGACAGTGAAATCAAAGGCTTGGATCAATGAACTCTGCAAAGTGTTATGTTGCTCTAAAACATTTTATTGAGAAGAGGAACAGTGTGATTAGCAATAAACCAATTTTGCCTGAGCCCTTTTTGCTCCTCTTGTAAACATTATTTTGGGGAAACCCATTCCTACAATTTGCTGAGAAATCTAATACGAAGTATTGATGATCTCATTTACAAAATTATAGCTGCAGTATTAACGAAGACAGAAAATGTGGATGATTATGATATTCATTTAATATGCATCAGAAGCAGCACTGACAACTTGATTTATCTTCATTGTCTCAATTAATCCTATTTTTTTAAAACACATGACTTAGATAAGGGTTAAAAGTATCATTGCTTAGTAAAGATTCTGCATTTTCTGGTTCCAAGAGACTTTTCCTCAGGCCTTTTCAACTGAGTGTTGTTTACTGTCCAATTATTTTTGAGGAGAAGGATTTAGATTTAGTATATTTTTGGCCAATTCCTAGTTCCTACTTCACGAATTTGGCAGCACCTTTAGTTCCTTGGGAAATATGGGAATGATGTGGATGTTGGATGTTAAAACCCCAGGCTGCCTCTGTTCTGCAGGACCTGAACTTGTTTCAGGCTGCCTCAATTCTTACTTTCTACTCCAGGCTTGCATTTCTTCTTTGTTTCTATATCCAGTGATTTCTTATTTCATCTTCCAATTTTGGCTTTGATGTAGTTATATTTGATGTATTTTATCCAATATTTATAAGTGTTTGGAATGGGACCAAGCGCCCATCAATTTAGCCTCCAGATTTTGGTATGAATGAGGATTTGACTTCTCCTGATCTTTAAATCTCCCAGAATGCCATGTCTGATGTTTGTTATGAATAGAATTGGCACAAAAGAAACCAGAGCCAGTATCTAAAATCACAGAGTCCATCACAGTATAGCAGGTTGTTTGGGAAAACAAAAGAAAACAAATAGTCTCCCACTCTAAAATATTTAATGTCTGGAATAAAAGCGACAAACCTTAAATTCTGATGGCAGTGAGATTGCAAATTTCAAACTTTGGAGTGTTTGGGATTATTTCTTTTACTAGCAATAAGCACAAAAAGTCAGGTACTTGAGGAATATTCACTTTTGAGTTGGAGGGTGGTGGTCACCCCAAGAAGATACGCTGCCATCAGTACATCACTCCTGGCATGTGGGTGCAGTCAGGGTAGAGATGTATGCTTACCCTTGTCATGTTGGGGTTCCTACCAGTAAGTCACACTCTTGTCAATTTCTATTGTCTTTAAGCAAGTGTTTTATTTGTTACCTTTAATCAGAGTTCTTGGTACCTTGACTATATCTTCTAATAAAATGTAAATTTCTACAAAAGCATTCTGTTTCCTTAAACACAAATGCTTGCATTCATGCAGGGTTTCCCATTTCTGTGTTTCCCTGCAGGTTTGGTTGGCTGGTTTTCTGAGGCTTGGTGACAGCACTGGGCAGGCTGAGTAGAGCTGAGCTCTGACAGGGACTGATGAGGCCTGGAACAGCGGGGATGTGCATAGACTAACAATATCTTTTCTTTTTTCTGGCATTTAAAAAGTGTCAGATTACATTGTGAATAAATCTATATCAAAATGTTATTAAAGTAAGCGAGTACTACTTTGGCAACCTCGTAAGTTCACAGGCTTTCCAAAGGAAAGCTGGCTGAGGATTATTTCAGGATGCCTGGACTTGCATCCTAAGGGTCAGGCTTTTCCCTGTTCTGCTGCCTCTAATAGTGCTGAGAGAAGGGCTAAGGTAAACCAGTGTGAGATTTTTCACTTCCACTGTCCCTTTCACTTTTGACCTCAGCACTACCATGTGAAAAAGCAAGTTAGGAAACAACCCATATCCATCAACAGATGCAGAAGTGGTACATCCATATAATGGTATATTACTCAGCCATGAAAAGGAAGTAAATTCAGACACATGCAACCATATGGATGGACCTGAAAAATATTAGGCTAAGTGAAATAAGCCAGACACAAAAGGACAATTATGTGTGAATCCAGTTACATGAAATATCTTGAATAGACAAATTCATGGACATAGAAAGTAGACTAAAGCTTATGACAGGCTAGGGGAAGGAGAAATGGGGAGTTACTATTAATGGGTATAGAGATTCTGTTTGGTGTATGACACATTTTGGAGATGAATAGTGGTGATAGTTGTACAGTATGGTGCCCCTGAAGTACACATGTAAAAATGGTTAATATGGCAAATGTTGTTATATAGATAATTTTTTTGACACACACAAACACACACACACTGTGGGCAGGGCCAATGGCACAGTTCTTCATTAAAGGCTCTGAAAAATAATCACATCATCCTTTATAAAGCTCCCTGGGAGAGTCTTAAGATTATCTTGGTTTCCTCAATCTAATTAAACCATGAAACCATCCTATTGAGTGGACTTTTTAATCCTTATTTTGTAAGTTATGAAACTTCAGGGGTTAAGTCAACATTGCATAAGTTAAGTAATTATGTCAAGCTTACTAAATTAAGCATGGGGGAATATAAAGAAAGTTCAACACTTATTCCACATTTATCCACTGGGTTCTACTCTCCTGGTACCAAAGAAGAAGAATTTAGTACTTATCTCCTTTATGCTTGTTTTTTTTTTCTTCTCTAGTTATCTGAGAGGCTTTAATTTCCTAAATCACAGGTAGTAGATAGACTTTAGATTAGCATAAGGAAATTTGTGGTTAGAGAGATCACTTTTTGAGGGGTCTAGATATTTAAGAATACCTCTAGACAAGGACAGATAACAGAATTTCTTTGGTCTGCACACCAGCTTTAATTAGGCAATGGTTAGTTAAAATGCATTTATAGGACATCCTAAGTCAAACGTAAATTTGTCATTTATTTTATCTGCTGTAAAAGGATAACCACACAACTTTGTTCTTAGGTATCGTCTCTTGGTTATTTGCATGAATTATTTATCTTATGTCTGGAAATTTAATACATGTCATAGAGCTGCAAATTACACAATCCATCTTAGGTTTTGTAGTTTGCTGTCTAAGTGGGCAGTCAATCTCAGCTATTAGTTTTATTTATTAAACTCTGCTCAAGATGCAGAGGTTTGACCTCATTTTACATTATGCTAAAAACATAGACATGGTTAGTTTAGGATGTTGGATGCAATGAAAGTAAAAAGAGAACCAATTTAAGTGAAAGTGAAATGCTGTGCCAATCCTGCCTTTCAGGATTGTGGGATGAGACTAATATACAGCCTCTGCCAGGGCAGAAATCAGAACTTGCTGGCCAGTAGGTAAAACCATTGACTTAAATAATGGTTTCAAAAGTCATTCTGAATCAGACTTGGGAAATTTTAAGAAACAAGTTCTTAGATGTGCAAAACCCACCAACTACCACTTATCGGATCATTTAAAAAAATGTAATGTTGTTTTCTAGTACAGGATCCTCAAGCAAAATGTATTGAAACGTTATATTAGCTTAGTCAAGTAGGTTCAGTGACCAACTGCCCAGAAAAACTGATAATGAAATCCTCTCAGAATCGGTTTTTGCTTCGTTGTCTTCTTTGGAAAGAAACATGCAGAGTAAAGGAAGGGAAGATTTATACCTTGTGGTTCTGCATCTGAGGTGAGCTCAGGAAGAAGGAAGAGGAAGGAGAATGGATTGCAAGAAAAGAAACTAAGTTAAAAAATTTCAGGACACATTCAGGTATTCATATCTTTTTCCCTCTACGTCATATTATGACTTGTGTTTCTCATCCATCTTCTTAAAACAGTGTGCAGTTTTGAGCTTTGCAAACTGCTAAATAATTATCTTTCATTAAACAGAATGCTATGTAGAATCTCAGGAACTTGGCCACCAAATAGTGTTGCAGAGAGAGAGGGGGTGGTGCGCTATAGTCACAATGGTTATTGTGGCATCCTTGTAAAGCTTTTTTCCACAGTGTTCATAGGCATCTTTCTCAGGGTGCAAGGCCCTGTGTGCACTGCTTCCTTCTGCTTCCAACATGCTCTTTCCCCACCTCCTGCACCTTGCCCGTTTAACTCAGACTCAATCTTCAAATCTCAGTACACATGCCTTTTCTAGGGAGGCTGTCTAATTCCCAGACTAGCTTGGATTCCTTTGTTGTAGTCTCATATACTTTGTACAAGATCTTTAATAACAGTAAAATTTACATTTGATCCATGGCATCATTTTATTGGTGTCTGTCTTTCCTACAGATGGAAAGTGAGCTCCATAAGGTCAGGGGCCATGCCTGCGTCTTCTCAGTTTGCCTGTACCTTTTAGCACAGCGCTTGGAACATGGCAAGAGCTCAGTATTTGTTGAATAAATGTATTTGTTGAAATTTGTGAGAAAAGGAATGCAAAACACAACTTTTGTGCCTTTCAAAACCATTATAGAATCAGTATTTTTGAGAACAATCTGAAGGGACAAAGTCTTCAGTTTTTTAGCTCAGGGATGACAATGTAAATGAACAGCACATTCACAGTAAGAGTTTGGCTAGTTTGGAAATAGTTAAGAAAGGTGTTTGGGTGATTGATGCATTACTGTGTGACGAATACGTAACTGGCCTTAAAACTGATGGCAATTTTCTGTCACTCAGTTGGAAGGAGGGAATAGGAGAAAACTGAGATGGACCCATTGAATACCTTGGCTATTTATAATTGTATCACTCCTGCTTTTCCCACCATCTTAACATGTGCTGACCTTCCATGACCTATTTTATTGCTCTAATCCATCAGGAGAAATCAGCAACTGAACCATCCTGCAGGGATCAGAAAATGGGACTTCCTTTTGTTCCATGACCTCCCCCCTCCACTCCCCCACTTTGTGTCCTTTGGTTCCTCTTTCCTTTGTCAGGGAAGGTGTCACCTATGGGTTTCCTCTTCAAAGCTGCAAAGGAAATTGATGATTTAGTTTCTTTTCAGTTGCCATTTGGCATAGTGACAAAAGCCAGCTATTGTTTTAAAGATAAAGTTGCATAGTACAAATTGAGATCGGAGTCAAGAATTTTGTGTGGTTCCCTTTCATCTTATTGTCAATTAATTCACTACATGTTTGTTGCTCATCTTTGACACAGAAGGCACTACAGTATGTGTCAGCTAATTTAAAAAGACTCACAGTTTAATGGAAGAAGCAAAGTTGTAGCTAGCAATGTAGGGCAGACAGACAGTGATGGGTATTACAGTGAAAGGACAAAGAAAATGTTATAGGAATATGGAAGAGGGAGAGAGAAATTCCAGTTTAGGAATTTTGGAAGATTTTGTAAAGGATTTGGACTTTGAAGGTGGATCTTTAGTAATGGGGAAGAGTTCAGTAAGCTTAAAAAGGAAGAAGAGGTTCTTCTAAGCAGAAAGAACCAGGGAAACTAGACAGGATGGTATGAGAGCACAGGAAATGCTTTAGAAATAGGTAACAATACTGTGTAGCTGGGTTCCCAATGTCCAGAGATAAAAGGAGAGGAAGATTATAAAAGTAGATTGAATCTATAGAGTAGGCCTTGAAACCCACACAAGATGTCTGGGACTTTGTTCTTTAGATAGCATCAGTTCAGAAAGGTCAGTTTCTCAGAGTTTTAGTAAGTTTTAGTTTAGTATGGTTGCATAAGATAGCTGAAATTCTGTTCTGATGAGGTGGTAAGAGACCAGCAGGGTAGCTAGCCCGCTTTCTCATGTCCATCTCATGTCTTGTCCCATGACTCTCCAGAGGTTTTTGGCTTTAATCTACTTAGGCGTGGGTACATGCACTTTGTTGGCTGTAAGCTGGGTAAATGATACTCATTTAATACATCAAAATGCATTATCTGCAGGAGATGCTGGTTGCCCAGTGGTTGGTAATGACCCTGGAAGGCAATGAAAGAGGAACAGTGCCTCTCTCTGTTGTCCTGTAGGCCTGCCTTGTGCTTTTTTTTAAGACTCAAAGCATGACTCAGTGTCACTCTGGATTTTGATGTTCATTTTAGCTTTATAAATTTCGTTGATGGAATTTCCTCCCATAGTCTTACAATAGGATATAGGATGCATGACTGTCTTTGTTTTCATTTCTTTTTTTTTTCCTCCGGAGCGTCATATGTATTTTACAAAGTCAAGAAAGGTTGAATCTTGGGCTGCTCTCCTGAACTCATCTTAGACCAGAAATAATCACAGTATTTTGAAGTTTTGTGGCTCTCTGTTTCAATGATAAGAGAAATAATAAAGAAAATCGCATGATATATTTCTTGTCTGTGATTACTTACAAAAACCAGGCAACACCAATGGAGGGTTGGAAGATCATCTGGGCCACTATTACAGCAATCCAGAGGGTGGGACTCAGGGCCAGAACTCAGGCCACTGTAGTAGAAATGGAGAGGAAAGGAGGGACATGAGAGTTGCCAAATGGGTAGAGTATGTAGAAGTGTATTGTTGGTTAGATGTAGCCTTTGAGAGAAAGGCCAGGTTTGCGGTGTCAGTGACTGAGCAGATGGATGAAAGTGCCACTCAAAAGGATGAGAAATGTGAGAGCACACAGAGCATGAGACCAATCATGGGTTTGTTTTGGATACGCTGAGATTGAATTGCCTGTGAAGTTCTTAGGCGCATACACA